TTTAAGAATTTGGACAGGAGCATCAGAGAGCGTCCGACCCTCTGTCCAGCATTTCCTGTCTCTGGGATCAAATATTCCTGTTTACTCCACTAAAATCATTAGCTAAGTGTTAAAAATGGACTGATGTCTCTGTGAACTGAAACAAACCAGTCGACCCAGAGTGTTTCTTATTGTTCCTTAAACACCAGCCCAAACACTGTAAGAGCAGATCATAGCATAACACTCATCTCTCTCTCTCTCTCTCTCTCTCTCTGTTTTTCATTAATTCCTTGCCAAGTTCACCAGAATGACACCAAGCAGAGAAGCAGCTTGTTCTCATCTGCAGTGGAGCAAAATAGCCATCAAAGGATCAATATCTCTAAAGAGCCAATAGATTGTGTAGATCCCCAGCACCTGGTACTTGGCTTCTCCCCAACACACAGTTCTGCAGAAAAGAACCCTATTCTTTTTATAATTCAATATATGGTCCAGTGTATAAGCAGAGATATCGAATCCTTCACTTTACTGGATGACACCTCTCACCCCGCTTTACCTTTCACCACATGCCTCACACTTAGCCAAAGAATGGCGTTTGTATTCCTACCTGTGCTGAGACGAGGCCTCCAGCATCTAATTATTTCACTCATTTTAATGCCTTCACAGCAAAATCCTTTCAAAGACACTCTGTGTCATTCTATCAGCGAAGGACGTGATTTCACTTCTTTACATCTTTGTAGCCATCTCTTTCCACAGAGCGCGACATGGAATGCAATTCACAGTCTCCACACGCTCTCCTGCACTTTTTTTCCCACCCATTATTGTAATCTGTGCACCAAATACCAAGAGACAGGTTACAGCGACACTGTAGCAAATGAAGACACCGCTGTGGAGTTTCCTGAGATAAACAGGTAGAAAACTCATCTAGAGGCAAAATGAACTCAACTGATTTCTGTTCAGTTACATCTGATGAGCCTGTGGTTGATGAACTGCTTTGATAAGAGTGATTGTGGGGCATGGGGGCGGGGGGTGTTCATTTTAATTTAGTTTGTATTAATTGACGATTGTAATTTAGTTTTGATTAATATATGATTGTGATGTGTTTCAACGCTCGGGGAATTTTAATTAGTGGTAAAATTATAAATAATAAAAAAAAAACTTACACTTGTCTTATACCTTGAATGAGTTTCAAACTTAATGCAGTTTTGTGAGTGTAATTGGTTGTTTGTCTTTATATGGACAAACAACAATTGCAACTATTGAACTGCCATTACCTAAAGACTACCCAAGGAATTGGCTGCAGCTCCCCCATGTTACCCACAAGGGTATTAAACAAAGAAGATGGAGTCCAGCTTTGCTCTGGATCAGTTGTGGTTTTGAACTGATTATCCTAAGTTTTACATGTAGAAATATATGAATGAATCATCTGTGTGTCAATCAGAGAAGAGTCTGATTTGAGAGGTTATAGTGGTGACTAGTGCAACCCTGCACTAAACCTCAGGGCTGAGTAGAACTTTGAACTGTTTATAGAGAATGTTGACAGACTATACATTGTTAATGACCAGTGACAAGAAACCGCACGCACTCCCATATGCACTCACACACGTCCATACTCACTGCTGTCATACTGGTAATTTGGCATTCCAGCATCCTCATGAAGACAAATAACCAGCAATTCTTCTGTTTGAAATGTGGTAATAAGAGTGTGACAGCAGAGGTGGAGCAGCTTTCAAACCAGATTAATGCAGATCTATGATGTACCACACGAGGTTCCTAGAGAATGATTTCAGTAGGTTGGCTGCTAATGATTCAGAACTTTTCAGGGAAAGCACGGCTGAGAAAATGCATTAATACATACTCAATCACAAACTTTCAAAATCTATTAACTGGTGCCTAAGATACAAAGCCTATGATATTTGACAAGTGGTGTTCCTAATAATCATCATCAACACAATGGCCTCCTGGCATCGATGGACGGTGGCGTATCCTGGACACGATCAATGACATCGGCTTTCTGAGCAAATAATCTTTAAGTGCTGAGAACTTTGGCTTCAACTTTATCTCCACTCAGCACAATAGAAAAAAAATGTTTAAAGCTTTAGGCATCGACTCATTGAAATACAAAAGAGTCTTTAAGTGTTTAGGGATTTGGAAAACAGCAGTAATATTCTTTCTGACTACAGAGTTCGACTGGCTGTGCTGTATTAGAGCCTGAACAACTTTAATACAATCTTGGAAGCCAATGTACATTTGTTTCATAGACATTTGAATGGAGTCCAATGCATTTGCTAGTGTCTGGCTTGTGACCAAGCTTTATTTTTCTTCTTAGCCAGTGAGGAAATAAGGAGGTTATTGTCTGCTTATCATCATTTAGTTTTTTGTTTTTTTTTAATTTTCTGGTAGGCTATGAATAATATGCCACTTTGTGCTGTGCCGAGGAAACATTGATGACTAAGGTTTACTGAGCAATTAATTGTCTGAGACACTTGTACACAGCTAGAGAAAACCTTCAACACCATCTCTCCCTCTCTCCCTCTCTCTCTCTCTCTCTCTCTCTCAGCTCCAGCCCGTTCAGAGAATTAACCCACTGTTCCATTAGCGCAGTTAAAAATTCTATGCATTAGTTGTTAAAAATAAAATATAAAAAACAGACACAAGGAAAGTAAATAACAAAACTAACATGACTATACTGTAGGCCTAAAGTCCAAGAAGTTCCACACACACAATAGGTAAACACTTCAAACAAACAGCTTGTGATTTCAACCTGTAACTGTTTTGCAGGCAGCTTCTTAGTTCTTCTTAGCTAATTTTCAGGACCAGTAATTTTGAATATTTTTTAGAATTAACTAATTTTGCTGAAAAAAAAACCTTTCCATGGCAGATGGAGGATGACACAGTTACAGAAGGAAACTCATTAATTTTCTAGATGATACCGTCTTTCAAGGACATTCCGGGGAAACATCCAATGAGCAGGGACAAGGACCCTTAAGATGGAAGGGGAAAGTGCACAGCCGAGTCTAACCTACTGTCTACTGGGGGGGGGGGGTACCTTCATCTATAATTTTACTCTTCACAGGAGCCCAGTGCTCTGGGGTGGAAGAGAGTATTGCAGACCTGGGTTTTGCCCAAAGGCTAAATTAATTATTTAGCGAGTGCGGTGTTCAAGTTGCAGCAGCCCCTGGATGTGGGCTCGTGAGGTGAGTAAACCAATACTTGGTATAACAATAATTTGGGAATTTAAAAAAGTGACCAGGGAACAGCCACAGTGAAGACCAAATTGTTTTGTTTTTCATTTAATTAGGCAGCCTCAGGGAAAACTTCTGCAAATTAAACTCTTCGTAGTCACTATTCATAGTGAAGTGCAATTAGATCATCTCCATTCACACCACACCAAATTATTTTTTGCAGTAATACAAAAAAAATATTGAGTCCAGATAAAGTAGACCCCAGTTAAAATAGAGCAATTTGCTTCTTAGCTCACAAACATTGCCTTTTTCTGTGCCTTCTTATTATCACGTATCTACCCTCCACACATCTCTTGGTTCTTTGGTGTCCTCTTACGGTACGTTTAAAAATATGTGAATCACTTCACTGCAGGATAAACTGGATCTCCAAATAGAAGTGTTAATGATAGTTTGTCTCTATATGTGGTCTTGTGTTGAGTGGGTGATTTGTCAACCTTTTGCCTAATGTTTGCTACGTCCTGCTTCAGCTGCTCCACAACAGCCTAGAGCAGATAAAGATGAATACCTCACACTTGACATCAAAGTTTGTTTTTACATATGTACCATTCTCTATAGTATATCACTGCTACAAACCTGAACAAAGTGGATTTAATATCTGACAGTGAAAACAGTTTATTAAACTGATTTCACACATTTGTGTAATTGCCCAAATTTCAATTCCACCAACCACCACAACTTCTGACCCCAATTAGGGGGGGTCATTAGAAAGGGTGTCTGCTGTAAAAACTGTGCAACCTGCACTACATGTGGACTAACTGTGGTGCAGAGAAAGCTTGTTAACAGACTGTTAACGGATACATCAGTTTCAGCTCAGAAAATCTATAACATGCAATAACATGCAACTTGCGCTGAAAATATAGAGATTTAAAATGATTTCCTTCATATGACCTAGATTATAAAAACATTAATCAAGGTTTTTACCCACAAGCCATGCTGTGGCACTCTGCATGGGAATAATAGTGCATTCTCTTCTCTGCCCCAGGCTGAAATATTTCAAACGCTGATGAATGGATTGCAATGAAATATTGGACTTATGGTTCCCAGAAGAACCATAATGATGAACTAATGATTCATTTAGACTTTCTGAGCTGAATTGACGAGGAGACTCCTCAAAGGCTCTACAAGCAAAGGTTTTCCATTTTAGCAATTGTTAAACAATACCACGCTAACTCTTCAAACACATTTTCACCACAACGTACCTAGTTTTACACTTAATAAAACGATCCACAAACCATTCCTTTCTAGATGAAAACAGCAAAAACGTTGTGCCCTAGCTTCACTCTGAAATAAGACTTCATTCTTCAATCAACCGTACTTCAAGGAGCTATAGCTGTGGTTTTTATGAATTTTACAAACACTTTCAGTTCCAAATATTTTGCACAGTGCGTCCAGAACATGCAAATTAATCTGCATGCTAGCAAAAGAAAAGTCCTTGGTTTCTGGGACTGCCCACATGGATTAATTACAGCTTGAACTATAAACCTCTCAAAAGTAGAAAATATTTTAGTTATTTAATTAAACCAGTATTAGTGCAAGTTTACTTTGAATTGAAATTGATCTTACAGTGTAGCCAACTGTACTACTGACAGGTACAGAAAATAAAATGAGCTCTCACACTAGAGGAAGATCCCTCTATCGTATCATTTCTGGTTTCATTTAGCTAACTTATGGCCATGTAACACATTTACATAAATATTGTGTGTATACTTCTGGTCACTCCATCACTTGGTACAGCATACCTTCACCAGGTAACATCCTTGAAGATAAAAGGACAACAAGAAAACATCACTAACTTTAATAGATTAAACAGAATTAGTCAATTGTATTCAATTAATTTACAAATTAAGAAAACCTGTATATGAAGCTTTACCAAAATGATTTTTGTCATTCCACAGGTAAAGCACAGCTACGTTCCTGTTTCCATTCAAATTTGAGGTGATGTTTCCATAGCAGATTTATTGAAGTCTAACCATTGAAAGTAGGGAAATCTATCATAATACCGTATAATATTTGAGGTAGAGAAAATGGTAAAGGGTGGTTGAAAAAATAGAACTAGAATATAGCAACAAAACTTACCAAAACGTCTCAAAGGTCACTTTGGTAAAGGCACCTGTTTTATCTAGTCAACATGTAAGTGAAAGTGAAATGTTGTCATGGATTCACAGCACACCACTGCACACAGTGAAATGTGTTCTCTGCATTTGAACCCATCACCATAGTGAGCAGAGGCAGTCCAAGCTGAGCACCCAGGGGGCAGTTTGTAGCGCCACTGCCATGCTAAGTGGCACCTGACGACTTTGAACCTGTGACCTTCCGGACACAAGTCTGCTTCCTTAACCACCCAGCCACCGCTGCCCCGCATTGAATCTAAATAATGTTACAACTCTTTTCAGCTTTTCATCAGTTATTTTTAATATTTAGTTCCTTATGTTAAGGGAGATCTGCATTACTGACCCCTGCACTACAGTTTCTGGCAGAGGTAGACCACTCCAGGTATATATCCTTCTTCATCCTCTGAGACAGCCCTCTCCCACTGTTCTATGAGAGTGACTGCTACACTGGTCCACAAACCCTCATCCTCCATCTTCTTGATTTCCTGTTCCAGGCCGGCTTTATATTCCAGATTGTCCTGGTTGGCTCTCGTTGTCATGCAAACGTAGCCACCTAGTGGATAAAGAATGACAATGCAACATAATTTTTGTCAGGGAATGAGAAGACGACGGACAACCAATGATTTTTCTTTTTTCTTTTCACCCCGTTTAGTGGTTTTGCAGAGTTCTCTAATGATAACATGCGGGACATGGCCAATGGACAGAGCTCCAACCATCACAACAACGTCAAAAGTCTCTGTTGAAACAAAAGAGGCAAACAAACAAAAAAACACACTTGTTAATGCGCCGAATACCATTTTACAGAAGATGTGATGAGATGTGTAAGATGTGTAAGATACAAAACAAAGCAATAAAACCATTGCAATATGAGATTCAGGGAGAGTTCATTTTGTTTTGTACCCGTACATTATGTCTTGCATGTAACATGTAAAAAGAAGTATCACCTTTGACTAACATCATACAGTTGAATGAAGACTTTGTAAAAGTAACTATTACCTTGTTGAAAAGGCAGCGGTTGGTCCCCCAGCACAGTCAACTTCAGATCTTGGTACAGATTTTTTTTTCTGGCCATCTCCAACATAGGTTCGCAGGCATCAATTCCCACAAATTGTCGAAATCCATGATTCTTCAACTTTGTAACAGAATGCAGACATTGTAATTAAAAAAAATTAAATGTTGAACATGTGTTTGCAATCCCAAATATATCAGCCAGTGTTTAAAGGGTGCTTTTTGTTGCACTTTTCTTCTCTGGTTCAGGACATAATCAGAACAACACTGAGATTTCTGTCTTGTTAATTTACCACTTTAGCAACTAGTCCTGTGCCACAGGCCACATCCAACACGACGGCTGCCTCACGGTCTCCACTGAAGTGACTGGTGATGGTGTCGGCTGCAAAACGTGGTGCACGGTATTCCAGAACAGCAACATCCTGTTCAAATACGTTTTCCAATTACAATTCTGTGGTTTGAAGACAATATAAAAAATAAACTGCACTTCTCATGCACATCACTTCTGTACTACTTTCAAACAAAATACATTGTCCAAAACAAATAATTTTTGGTACATAAATACCTGTTAAATATTGGGCTGACATAGATGTGTTCCCTTAAAGACATTACCTCTTCATAAGTCATTGCCCAGGAGTTGTAAAAATCAACCTTCTCCTGACATGTAGCTCCCTCATGACAAGATAAGACAACGGCTTTTACCCGTTCAAATGGATCAGCAACTTCTGACATCATGTAGAACCTGTTTTATTTTGGGGGGAGGGGAGGGGGGGGGAGATGACAGTTGAACCAATGTTGAAATGTTTTTGTGGTTCTTAATCATAAGCCTAGTGATTGTACAGTAGATAGTATGGCACATGCAGTGAACCTTTGGTATCCCTACAGTACAAAGTTTGTGCTGTATAGTCTTGAGGTCTGTCAATGCATCTGTAAATTGCATGTGGGTAAAGCATTGCACAGTTAATCATTAATAAAACTCAGATAAAAATCACAAGCTGGAGAAGGTGACCTAGAAGACAGTTATACGTACCGTATAAATTAAGCCCCAATCAAACTAACAGTTTTTAAACTGGTTGAATCACTGTAGGTTTTTTTTTTTAACAATCATCCTCTTCAACAAACATTTTTTTATTTTTGACTTTCACCAGCTCATGAGTAAAAGGCCAGACATCCTTATACAGTATATGAACATGTGTCCACTTCTGTTGTTGAGAAGCTTTGCCCAGACAACATGCTATGTAGCACACCAACGTGATCTACCTACATTGATTTTTGATATATATTTAGCCACATGAGCTGAATATACTTCATATATACCCACCATAGCTGTATGGCAAAATATGAGTCAATAATTGTATTGTTGGTAAAAAAAATAGAAATTAATATTAAAACATTTAATATTAAAAAAACTTTATTTTTTATTTTAATTTTAATTGCTCATGAGCTGCCTGTACTGCCTTTGTGATCTACTGGTAGATCCCGATCTATTTATTGGGCATCTATTTATGTAGTACTCTACTACAGCAATGCATATTTTCATTACTTCACACAATAAACGGCACACAATACTATATAAAAAATTAAAAATGACTTGAGCTTGATTCGGCCCTGGCAAGCAGTGCACAGTATTATGTCCTATCATATTAGTGTGGCAAAGTATCACATTTATTAAAGTATGCAAATCATCAAACTAAAATCCTCCAATCCTACTAAACCATCCAGGGCGTGTAGTGTTCTGATAACGTATGCATAACTGATAGATACATATATCAGACAGAACAATACTTTTTTGTAGTTTCATTAAACTGGTATTCTGCTACTTTGGCTACTTTACTGTACACGTGTACAAACGCAACACGTACAAACAAAAACAAATATACCTTGTGACCGTCTATTGCTTCTGACAACGACCCAGTAGCAACTTCCTGCAATGGTGACGATATCCTGACAGACTAGTAGCAGCTTTCGTCCTTCTTAGAGGCGTTTCCTGCACGTTTTGTCCTCCTATGTACGGGTTTAGAAACTGGACCTATTCATGGCCGCATTTAATCAGGACTCGCGTCACTTTCATAGTTAAAACGCTCTTCTTTGTTTTACAGTGTTATTTATATGTGCGTGTGTGTAAGAGAGAGAGAGAAAGGTATTGAACTGTATTAATGAAAATGACTCGTTGGATGTAGACCCCAGTCCTACGTCTACATACATCTACAGTTCATATCCTCTACAGATCATAATACATAAACCTTCTGGCCAAAACATGCGTTTGTTCTCAGCAGACGTAGCCACCTAGCGGACACAGGAAAGAAATGTTTGACAAATGCATCTGCTGTACAAACGGAACTCATGTAGCCGATAAACAATATTTAATTTAAAATAAATAAATACACGTTTTTTTTCATAATTTCAAAAACAAATGTAATACCATCTAAATCTTTGGTACTGCTTTGCCCTTAGTTTTTGCTTCCGTGTATTTAGTCCATGTTAATTAAAAAAGTTTTGGTAATAATAAATAATAATGTAGACAATGTCACTTCAATTAAACGAAACATTTATATTATTTGAGTTTCTACTCTGTGGAATCAAAGGTCTTATTCTAAACTTAAATTTCGGACACACTTGAACGCAACAGTTGGAATTCCAAATTTCTGCGCATGCGCCTTAGCAATGTTCCAGCCTGCTGTTCATGTTCCCACCTGTAGAGTGGGAGTCAAAACAAAAATGTCCAAGAAAGTCCCTGACTTCTCTGCGCAACGCTAAACAGAAACACAATCTGCCTTTAAATTAACAAAAAATATTTTTTTCTAGATAAACTTTAACCATTTCTACATTAGCTTCCTTTCTGTTATATAAATCATGGAGATTGAAACGTTTCGCTCTTTTTACGACTTGTTTTGGTCCGTTTTTGTGGCATAGCTGGCTAGCTAACGGTTCATATCTGTTAGCTTAGCGCTGGTCTTCCAAGCAAGAAATCCAGCATCTTAGAGCCTGAGGAACAACGGGAGTTTCAGGTTTTACTCTCTGGTAACGACTATTGACTTAATTTCTCATTCAGATAGTTTTGTGTATATGTTGGGCTTTAAAAACAGCGATTATCGATTCTTCTCTTTGTCCAGGGATTGATTCTGTACAGACATTTATAACTGATAATTACATCGTAATGTGTTAAATGTGATTTTTAGTGAATCTATCTCCGTACCCTTAAAATGTCATGGCTTAATTCTGAACCATAAGCATATTGCGTCTTCCGCAGTTTTCTGAAAAAAGCCACCCATTCAAAATGTCAATCCTGGGATTAAAGAAGAAACAGCCAAAGACTTTCAAAGTCAAAGTCATCACAATGGATGCTGAAATGGAATTCAGCTGCGAGGTATGGATTTCTTTTAGACGCATCTCTAAAATTATTTATGAGTTATCCTCATAGTTAATAAGTGTCCCGTTGTTTAAAAAATACATTGAAATGGCCATGTAGACAGCTCTATTAAAAAAACTGGAATTAACCCAAAGATAGTACACAAGAGAGTTTTTTCCCTATAATACATTAGCAGTACAATTCTGAAGTGTGGCTTGTCAAGCCATGTCATGCAACAATGCAATGTAATTTTTATATTGTAATATAACAATATAATAACAACAATAGAATTGTTGTGTTCTGCTTGTAAATTGCCAGTGACCTGTAGTAGTATGCAAACAGTGTGTTTTCATCAGTTCTACTTACTACTTTGTTGTCTTCTCATTTTTCAGGTAAAGTGGAAAGGTAAAGATCTGTTTGACCTGGTGTGTCGCACCGTTGGTTTAAGGGAGACCTGGTTCTTTGGACTCAGATACACTGTGAAAGATACTTATGCCTGGCTGAAACCGGAGAAACAAGTTAGTAGATGACTGTACATTTAATAAAGTGTTATTATGCATTTCCTTATATTAATACATTGAATGTCCATTTAAAATCTTTTATCAAACTGATTTGTTGTCAATCTCAATGCAAGAGTATTGCTTAGCCTCATGTTTCCTTATTACAAGGTTACATTTTCAGACTGCTTGTTTAGTCTAAGGAACTCACCAAAATCCTAAAGATAAATTGTACACAATTTCAGAGGCAGGAATGAAAAAGTGTTTGTTGATTTTCTTTCTTGTCTTTAATACCTTATCATCTCAGTGTCTATATATAATGTATACATACAGTATTTATTATTATTAATATTATGACTAAACGTTATATATAATAAATACTTTAAAATGTTCAGTGTACTTGAACATTTTAAAGTGTTGGCTTTGAATCATCTTCTCTAAACAGCTGGTTCTTAAGAGTTTTTTTTTTTATTTGTTTATTTAGGTCCTGGACCAGGAGGTTCCCAAGGACTCTCCAATAACATTTCACTTTCTGGCTAAATTCTTCCCAGAGAAAGTTGAAGAGGAATTGGTCCAAGAAATTACCCAGCACCTATTTTTCTTACAGGTATTAACGTAATGTTATTTATGCTGTGTGTTAAATGTTTATTTGCTTTGAGATTTTTTTTTGTTTAAACACATTTGTGCATCTTGTCCTTTTTCAGGTGAAAAAACAGATTTTAGATGAAGAAATATTTTGTTCCCCAGAGGCATCTGTACTGCTAGCATCTTATGCTGTCCAAGCAAAGGTAAAGGATCAGTGTAAGGTTGAAGCAAAGTCATGTTTATTTATACATAAGCTAATAAGAAATTGCATTTTTATTTTAATCACAGTATGGAGACTATGATCCAAATTTTCACAAACCAGGCTTCCTGGCTCAAGATGAACTGCTGCCAAAAAGAGTAAGTATTTGGTGCTGTATGTGGTTTTGTTCTTCTGGGTAAATGTTAATGTTTGGGGTGTTTTTTTTTTTCTAACACAAGGTTCTGATGCAGTACCAAATGACAGCTGACATGTGGGAGGAGAAAATCACAGCTTGGTATGCTGAGCACAGAGGCATCGCAAGGTAGGACTGACCTGTGTGATAAACACAAGAAGTAACTGTAGGCCTGTTAAGAGATTTAATTGCAAAACTGAAGAACACATTTTAAAAAAATAATTCTAGTGTCAAAAGATGGGAAATAGACATTAATCAAAAGCTTATCTGTAAAATACTATGTGGCCATTTAGGAGAAAACATAATGACACGCTCCTTATCTAAACCAATACAAATATTGTAGACACAGCATAGATCACACTGCAATGTTACAAGGGGAACACTCAACCTTCCTTGGCTCTGCTGATAAACTGTTACCAGAGATATTTAAATATCTGCTTTGAGACAACTATGAGTTGTGTGATATATTGTTTAAGCAATACATCATCTGATTACAGTGACAGGCCTAAGTAGTCCTTGACTTGCTAGGTGAAGAATGATTAATGTACCATAGCTTTCCTTTTCATTTCTGTAAAGAGATGAGGCAGAGATGGAATATTTGAAGATCGCTCAAGACCTGGAGATGTATGGTGTGAGCTATTTCAACATTACAGTGAGTATGAATTGCAGCTCTGAAAAATCAGTGACATGAATTGTCAATTGCCTTTATTATTTTTTAAATACAACAGCAAAAACTCAAGTCATTGACAAATTACACTGAAAAAAAACAAAACAAAAACAACCCATCTTCAATGTTCTGTTTTAACAGCAAAATAAAAAGGATACTGACCTTTTATTGGGAGTGGATGCACAGGGTCTCCACATTTACAGCCCCAACAGCAAACTCAATCCTAACAAGTCCTTTCCCTGGAGCGACATCCGTAATATTTCCTACAGTGAAAAAGAGGCAAGTACATGTCTGTAGTTAGGCCATAATGGAAAGTTCTAAACAAATAAATAAAATAAAATGACCATCCATTTCTCTTGTAGTTCACAATCAAACCACTGGATAAGAAAAAAGATGTCTTCAAGTTCTACTCCTCTCAGCTGCGCGTCAACAAGCTGGTTAGTTTTCCTGTGTGTCAACAAAGATTAAATGTTTATTTTTGCGTGAAAATTATATAAAATGTGATGTTGGTGGTTTTCTGTCTAGATTCTGCAGTTGTGCATTGGTAACCATGATCTGTTCATGAGGAGAAGGAAGGTAGATTCTATCGAAGTGCAGCAGATGAAGGCTCAGGCTAAAGAGGAGAAGGCCCGCAAGAAGGTCAGCATTATTGCAGTCCATTTAAAGGTGGATTTCAGTTCAAATAATTTCACCACTGATGATTCAATAACATTTGATTGTCTTTAGATGGAACGTCAGATTCTGGCACGAGAAAAGCAGATGAGGGAAGAAGCAGAACGAGCCAAAGAAGAAATGGAACGGAGACTTTTCCAGTTACAGGATGAGGCTCGACTGGCCAATGAGGCACTGGTGAGAGACATGCTTTTTTTGTTTTAAAAACAAGTGACAGAAATGGTTATGGAGTCCTCATTAAAAGACAAGACAATTCAGCATTGAAAAAGGTTAATTATTTTATTATACAGCCAAAAAAAAAAAATGAAATCATTGTCTTCTTTTCAGCTGCGATCTGAGGAAACTGCAGACCTGTTGGCAGAAAAAGCCCAGATCGCTGAGGAGGAGGCAAAGCTTTTGGCCCACAAGGCTGCAGAAGCCGAGCAGGAACGACAGAGGTTAGAGGTCACTGCCATGAAGACCAAGGAGGAGAAGAGGCTGATGGAGCAGAAGATGAGGGAGGCAGAGCAGCTGGCTGTGAAACTGGTCGAGCAGTCAGAAAGGAGGTGACAGAGTGTTTTAGTATGCATATAACACACAGCTGTTCACAATTTAGCTCACAATTTTGTTCATGTCACCACCTGGCTCAAACAGCAGTGACAAAGAAGTGAAACCCCAACTTTCACTAGTGTAGACCAGTGAAAGATGACAGAAATAGCACCAGTTCCAAAGCACAAACTTCCAAGCTACACAGAGCAACTTAAACAGAACTTACCAAACAAAGGAAGGAGTAGTGAAGCCTCCATTTGTTACCACTTGACTAAAGCAACAGTTCCAAAGAAGGGCAGCCACGCAGGTGACAAACCAGGTGAGAGAGTGAGAACAGTGAGCCAAGGCCTGCTTTATGGCCTCCCACTGTAGCTTCCTCAGGTGTGCTGCATCTGTGACGAGGTTGCAGCTCCGCCTCCCAGGTTCCTGCAACACAGGAAATGACATCGCCCCAACACATGACCCAAGGCCAGCCACGTTCACAAAAGTATCAATACTAAAGTTCTTTTTTCTCTTTTAATAGCTCTGTCCTCATCAATAGTTATAGGTAAAGATAAAACAGATCGACATTATAAACATCACATTGTATTACTAAAATATCTGTAGTTATGTTGTTATGAGTATTTCCCTTTATAAATACATGATTCTCACTACTCTGTGATATACAGCACATTTTTTAAATTTTGCAATGTAACAGACAGAAGCCTTGAACTAAGCAAACCTCTTGTTCCAGGTTGAAGGAGGCAGATCACCTGAAACAAGACCTGACAGAGGCAAAGGATGCAGAGCGCAGAGCCAAACAGAAGCTGCTGGAGATCACCAAAACAACATATCCGGTACGGTGGTGTTGATAATGATTTTGTCAGCTAAATATATTTTTGTGTATGGTTGTTTAGACTGTTTAGACGTTGAGAGTGACTTCAATCCAATATCAAACCTAATGTCAGCGTACAATCTGATATTAGAGCTCAGTTTTTCTATTGTACTGCGTGTGAAATAAGAAATAAGTCATGAGCTGCAGAGTTCTCTTTAGCAAATTGCCTGTCCACCTACTCCCAGCTAATAGCGGCTTACTCACCGCCCCCCGCTCCTCCTGAGGCGTCAGACTCTTCATACGAATCAATGCCTTCGCGTCTGGACTTCAAGGACTCTGACATGAAAAGGTTGTCCATGGAAATTGAGAGAGAGAGGTGAGCTCAAAGTTCAAATATCCTGCAGTAGCACCTTAAAAACAGTTTGTCTGTGCTTACGCCTGCTCAAATACTAACAAACATTGTATGATTTTAAAGACTCGAGTATATGGAGAAGAGTAAACACCTGCAGGATCAGCTGAAGGAGCTCAAGTCTGAGATCGAGTCTCTGAAGCTGGAGGAGCAGCAGCAGCAGGCCAGTGTCTACAGTCTCCACAGTGAGGCGCGGGGTTACGTTCAAGAGCCTGTCTACTTACCTCATAGCAACGTACGTATGGATAAACCGTCCATAGTACTCAGTTACCGCCTCAGTGCAGTGATGAACTGAAGGATTTTATTTTTCACATTGTTTCTTAATTTCTATATAAACTCCAGCCAATAGATATTTAAAAACAACTACTCTCAATGATCGTAGACATACATTTTATGATCATGAGATGAATGACATTAAATATTGACATCCATTATTAATACGTCTATCATCTCACCTGAATGATAATTTTATATTTAGAATTGTTCATTGATATAATCTTCCTAGTATTTCAAACACTTGAGCACGAACACGTCACAGCTGGAAACGACTCATCATTTTAGACTGAAAGTCTTTTTTTTTCGTAGCACAGAGCAGTGCTGTGTTTCTCTACTGAGTCTTTGTCACTGGAGGAAAGGAATTCAAGGGTTGGGATGTTCAACACGTCCAAGATGACACAAAGTTACTATTGTACTGGTTTGTTTACTGTGATTAAAAATAACTCTTGAGTTTCTTATAAAGTCATTCACTAGTGATCAAATGAACTCATTATCCACAGACCACAGAGATGTTGGGACTTTGGTTGTTCGCTTCTTTTAGCTACATATTTAAACACCACATTGGGGAAGCTGATTTCCAAACAGCTCAGCCTCACCACAAACAAACTATGCTTATCACTCAAATACTGTTTTAGCCATCAGAGGCAGACGAACAGCTCAAAAGTGTGAAGTCCACAAAGAAGCCATGATAGCAGCTAAGGCTAGACGAACCACCACAGGTCAGTTTGTGTTTCTAAAGGCGCTTTCACTGACAGAGAGTGACAGCCGTGATTCACTGAACCAAACTGTCTGTCCCGAGTGTGGTTGGCCACAGCAGTTTAACATAGTTGTGTTGTCCAGAGAGTGGCTGACCACAAGGCACCAGTAAAATAGTAAGTGAGCCAACATGTCAGCACACCCCGCTCTGCTGGTTTTGAAACTTGTACAGTAATGATGAACCTGACCTGAACCTTGTTTTTATTTTGCTTTGTCCTGCAGCGAAACTCTGCGTACATGTCTCAGATGGCATTTTTCGAAGAGGTGTGACTGTTGTCCGGCAAGAACTGAACGGAGAGACCTCACCGCTGTGATGCAGTATTTTGTCAACATTGTTTTTGTTTTGTTTTCTAATCATCCAGAGACTTAAAGAACACACTCCATGTCCTTCTGTAATATGCCACAACAAATCTCCCAGCAACAGAGACATCAACCATGTGTAGTACTCACCACATTACTGTATGTGCCACGTGTTAAACCAGTTCCAGGTTCTGGTGCTGAAGAAGGCTGTGAGCCTGAAGAGAACATGTGCTTGGCTGTAAGGTGCAAGAAGCCAAAAAACCCTTAAGAAGAGTTACCAATCAGTGCCTTCACAACATTAACAGACGTTTTATTTGGAGACTTCTTCCTTTGGTTGAGGAGAAAAATCAAAGTCATATATATATATTTTAATAACATTGACTTTTGCTAATCTTCATTTAAACCAGCAAATTTATTTTCTCTGACCTGTGTGTATTATCATGTCTTTAACACTAAACACAAAAATGATATATATATATATATATATATATATATATACACATCAGTTAAAGTAACCTGCAAGAGACCGAACCACTGTGGACTTTCTTTAAACCTTAAATAATTATTCAGCCCTAAACAAAGGGTTACTTTTCTCGTGTGATGACTCCATAAAATTTCAAATGCAGTTTTTGAGGGTTTTTTTCCTTTGAATTTAAAAATATTGTCACACAGTTCATCAAGTGCCTTTAAGAGCTTGATGGCGACAGTGGACGTAGACGTAGTTTATATTCTAAAGCTCGTGCTCTGCCATTTCAACTGTTTTGTATATTTTCTGAACTCTTGAGGTGCTCTGAATTTCTCATTTACCATTTTACTTTGTAGTGCTTCTTTTAACCTGCGCTCATGTGACTAGGCGGTTGGATTTGAAATCATTAACTCCACAAAAAAAACCAACAACAAATAGATAATGTTGTGGTTTTTTTTTTTTAATATATGTACTCTTTTTTTTTTCTCAGGGCCGTTGTTGGAGACAATCACTGCAGACTCGGTGTTTTCCCCCCTGAGATAACCCTTACTTCCCACCTTGTTTAGATCAATAATTACCCTCATTGTGAATAACTTATCGTTATGTTTTGAAGTTACAGAGTTGGGTCATGTGAGTGAACCTTTACTAGACTACACTCCTTTTTACATTCTTAAAAAGGGAGAGGCTCCTCGGCAAATGCACAGCCAGAGATTCTACGTGTGTTTATTTGAAGCAGTGGATTTGATACTGACGTTTTCTATGGACTGAACAGCCATAACTGATTGATTGTTTACTGCATTTATGACTTGCTTATCAATGCGGTTGAGTAAACGCTCCTGTGCTTAAATGTTCAAGTGGAAATATTTATATTTCTTGATGTGAAAAGAGCTAAAGAAAAAAAATACAATTGAATTTGAATTGAATTTCACCTATGTTATCCTATTTTAGTAGCAAATGGAATTGGATAAATTTCCTTCCAAGTTAAAGAAGTGAAGTTTTTTCACATTTCAATAGTCAAAGAAAAAAGAATGAACCCCCGTAACAATTCTGTTTTTTTTTTTTTAATTATCCCCCTTGGGAATAAAAAGGTATCCTGGAACTCAAATACACTTGCCAGGGTACAGAGGTACAAAACCGAAATAACAAAAACTGTTGAAGAAATAATTTGTAGGTGAACACTATTAGCGTTACAGCCAAAACACCAGTGATTAAAGTGCAAAACCAGCCAACAAAAGAGACCAATTAAATACCACTTTGGTTAAAGAGACTCCTTTAAGCCGCACTGTGGTCAGGTAAGGACAAACGGGACACAACACACTCAAAAAAGTTATGTTTTTGCCAGGAAAAAGGAAAAAGTTGAGCAGCAAAGAATACTGTCCAGGAAATGAAACAAATGAAGATTTGAAAAATAAAAAAAGGAAATACATTTTTTTAGAATCATTTTAAGTATAGCTGTTATCTATAACACATCAGAACACACAGCTGCTCCTTCACATACTGTCAAACTGTCACTATGAATATTGTAATTGCATTTAATATTCAGTATAAAAAGAACGTCTGTTAGAATTGAGGATTTCGACAGTAGTTTTGATGCACAAACAGTGTAACTACAGACACAACAACTTCACAGACTCAACACATCATTATAAACACAGTGGTATTTAAACTGCTGCTATAATTTTACATACACGTAGTTTTTACACAGTACATTCCTTCTGCTGCTCCTCAGCAGACTGAAACTCACTGAGGCCCAGATCCATGAGTGACCACATGGTGGGAGTGCTGCTGTGCAACCAAATGTTCTAAACCACAGACCTGTGGCCTGCAGTGTCAACATTTCTGTTGGATTTCTAGGACCAAATCAACTCTTATTTCCAGAATTATTTTTTTGCAATACAAACCTACTACCCGAACCTTTGTTTATGCATTTGAACAGAGAAAATATATTTTAAGTTGAACAGTCTAATTATATTTATTAGGGATGAACAAATCTGGAGTTTGGCTTCCGTAATACATGGGTTTAGGAATGTCCTAAGTCTGTGTGGATGTGATCATTTCAGGCGTTTGTGATTACTCTCTCTTCTGGGCTTTAATGCTGGTAACTCCCCGTCACAATCTACAGCTTTTAATATTTATCACAAGAGACTTTGGGGGTGGGGGGGTCATCTTGCATCACGTTTCCCGGGAGTTTATGAATAATGTCCACAAACGAAGGTTTGTGACTTTTAAAATATGGGTCCCCAGAAAAAAAGTTTGGGAAACACTGCTTTAAATGATTCATAAACAGGTATAAATTGATACAGTTCAGCCATTTAGTAAATGATGTGAATTATTACACGTGTACCAGGGCATCATTTCCTTTAAGTTTATGTGTTTTTTTTTAATTATTATTATTATCGGCAATTCTCTTTTGAACATTTTGGACTTGACAGATGACATTGATACTGTTTTAAATAACCAAAACCAAAAACAACCTGACAGCACCACTGAGTGAAACTAATTTTGTATTCTTTACACATCACTCCCTCCCTCCTCTAACACAGCACTCATCCTGTGTAAGAACACTCTCTGTCAAACCTGTTTGTCCTGGTAATTCTTTTTAAAAAGGGCAGGAAATGGACTTTCTGATGCCTGAAATGTGTCCACAGAAAAAAATAAAAGTTTTAAAAAATCTACCTACAGTTCTGATCTGATGGTGATATTCATTTATTGGAAAGTTTATAAAACAAAACTAAATAAAACAAATTTAAAATATAAAACCACATTTCACAGTTGTGACAAAGGTAAAATAATGCTCATCAGTGAAACACTACATTCAAATGTATGTATTTGGATCTTCAAGATATATCTAATGTAAAGTCAGGAAAACGACAGACTGAAATGAGGAAACATGTCTGAGGTAACTGTTCCAGAGAGAATTCTTCTTCTCTGCCTCAAAATAAAGAGAAAATTAAACCATGACATTTTAAAACTACTGGCTAATAAACTTAGCAACATTTGAACTTTTACTATACAGCTGTAACATACTTCACTTAACACAGATTTAGTGCATGTAACATAATGAAGTGTAACATATTCACACAGTAACTGTGGTCCAGTCCTCACAGTAACAGCACGGTGGAGTGTAAACAGGATTATACTTCATTTTATGATTCGTCCCCTGAAAGCACAAAAAAGTAAACAATTTTCCAAAAGTAAAAAGTCTCAGTTCAAATATCAATTTCAACTTGTATAAAAGTGAGTGAATATTATAAGTAGGTTCTTGCTGGATTGGCAGATACGTCCTCGTGGTCATGACTGTCATTTGTTTCTTCCATTTCTGCGTTCTGTAGCTGGGACTTTGTGGACAAGGCCTCACTGTTTTCAGATTTCGTTGACTCCGGCCTCTTCATCTGAGACTTTGTCGAAGGTGCCCACGATCTTTCCGACTCCCCGGGCTTGTCCTCCCAAGGATGCCTGGTGTGCAGCTGAGACTTTGTGGATTCTCCGTCTGAAGTCTGAGGGCGAGAAAACATGGCTCCCACGGGCTGAGACCTAACTGCCGGTACCCTGCTGGGCTGAGATCCACCCTGGCTGGACCGGTTGGAGGAGCGGACGACCACGTAGCGAACGGACTGATTTTTGTCTGTGTCGTGGGCCTTGAGTGGACACGCTGAGCTGATGAACAAACCTCCTCCCAGCATGAGCAGGATGGAAGCTCCCCAACCGATGTAGAGACAGGCGCCAAGTTCCCGGCGCTGGGCATCTATGGATGCGCTGTAGAACTTTCTCACCACAGCACCAGCTGCCCAAGACGTAGGAATCAAACACAGCAACCCTGTAGCAATCAACACTGCTCCTGCAGCCACAGCCACCTTGCCTTTAGCTGCTTCTTCTTCATCCAGGAAGCGGGTACACTTTCCACCGATGAAGGCCAGAATGAGGCCTACAGCCCCCGTAACGATGGCGAGGACCATGAGCGCTCTGGCAGCCTGCAGGTCAGCGGTGAGGGCCAAGAGGGACTCGTAAGGCTTACACTGGATCTGGCCCGTGCTCTGGACCACGCAGGTCATCCAGATACCCTCCCAGATTGTCTGGGATGTGACTATGGTGCTGCCCACAAACGCTGTGACCCTCCACATGGGAAGCAGGCAGCTGAAGATGACACCTGCCCAACCCAGAAGGCAGAGGGCGCTGCCTAGCATCTGTGTCCCCAAGGAGGCCATGATGAAGAAGAGCTAAGAGGTTCTGACAATGTAGAAGTCCTATCCTCAAGTGTCTTGGTTTTTTTTTTCTGTGAATCTCCTTTTTTCGGTGGTGCAGTTTTCTTCGTCAGTCTTCCTCACCCAGTGATGCAGCAGTTCTCGTTTGTCTTCATTTTGCTCATTTTCTCATTTCCTATATTCGCCCAAGTGCACAGCGTTTACATGAAGAACACAGATCCCTGCTGACTGTTTCCACTGTTGACCCAGTCACCGGTGTCTTTTACTTAACAACAGGTGTGTCTCAGCCTCTGTTCACCTGCTGCTCTGCCTGCAACTCCGCCCCTCCCCCTTCATATATGTAACTAATGCTCTGTCCTTCCTTCTCTGTTTATTTTCCTACCTAAAGCAGAAAGAGAGAGAGAGAGAGCTTGTCTTCCCTCACCTGAGCGACTGCCTCTGTTCCACTGGGCAGGTGCCGATGCAAAACCTCAACTACTTGCAAACACAAAGAAGGGAGGTGCTGAAGCTGTGAAACTATGACATCATCTGTGCCGTCCCTCGTTATTCTTTTTGTCATGCGACTATTTTAGAGGAGACGTGTGGTTGAATGGAGCCAGATGACGGACAGACCCCTGACCAATGAACGCCACAGATTTTTGTTGTTGTTCTGATGTTTCGTTTGAACAATTAATAATAAAAAAATTAATGAATAAGTAACTTTTGAGAAACACGCTTTATGGTCATCATTTGTGCACGTTTGTATAGAGACACACTTGTACTGGCCGTTCGAACACAAAAATGATGTGTGCACGCACAAAGTATTAGAGTAACAGAATGAAGATGAGAAAGTGGAACACAATATCCTGGGAGAAAAGTAGGCACTTCAACAGTGCAGAACAACCTGTTTTAACCACATACACCCCCCCCCCCACACACACACACACACACATTATACACTAACATACGATAGATAGATAGATAGAGTTCCTCAGAGTTCCCTTTGGGAAATTTAGGGAATTTGCTTGTGTATTTTCATACACAGGATCAGTCAGTAGCAGCTTCACATATACAAATGTCCCATGAACTTTTTTAAATGTGAGTCTGAATGATATATATATATATATATATACAGTATATATATGGTGCAGTATGCCCAGAGTGGACATGCTCAGACTTGTTGTTAGAACCGTTTTCTAAAGAAAACAATTTGACTGTGTAATGGGTTAAACAAAGGGGTTGTAAACCAGAGCCCCCAGAACAGGGGCAGCAGAGTGACGGTTAATTTCAATACTCATAGCTCCAGGCGTGTTCCTTTAACAGGGAAAACATTGCTACAAAGCTTGTTTGTAAAGATTCTTCCAACACACCCGAAAAACCAGAATCTTGGCACCCGTGTCATCACTGCGACCGCGACTGTTTCTCCTTTAGATCAAAGAGACTTCGAGGTGATTTTAATGAAAAGTAAAACTCGCATAAGACAAAGATGTTTTCAGAAGAACTGTGAAGAAATTCTGTTTATTGCAAAAGGATCAATTTGAGTCAGAATGTGTCTCACAGTAACAGCATTGAAAGCTGTAATGTTTAGTACACAACGGCACAGAAACAAGCAAAAAGGTTGACATGTAAAACATGGCAGTTACAAAAGGACCTGTTAGAAATGATATAATACACTTAAAAACAAGTCAGGTCAAATAAATACAATTTTAATAGGAAATCCTTGAGGTCATATGTACAACGGGAATTCTTTACTGTGATACTATTTGTAGAATACTGAACTGGATTCATGTGTTGGCTCAAACAGAAGGTACCGTTAAAGGTCCACTCTTGTTTTGTTGCGTCTTCATCTCTTTATGTGAAGCCGTTGACCTTCTACACGTAGGCCTTGCTGCTCTCCACAGAGCGGGCTTTCAGGTACGTGGCATTGTAGCTGCTCTCATCTCTGGGGGGACAGGAGCTGCAGAGGAGACCCCCGCCCAGGAACAACAGTCCTGCGGCTCCCCAGCCAATGTAGAGTGAAGCCCCCAGCTCCCTTCTCTGAGCGTTGGTGAGGACGGGGTTGTAGAAATCCCGGATGATGGTGTGGGCCGTCCAGCAGACTGGGATTAGCACCAGCAGCCCTGAGATGATGAAGGTAATTCCAGCAGTGATGGCCACCTTGGACTTCTGCCTCTCTTCGGAAATAAAGTTGGTGCATTTGCCTCCGACTATGGAGAGAAGGATCCCAAAGACGCCGATGATGATGGCGATGACAACCAAAGCCCTGGCAGCCTGCAGGTCTCGAGGTAGAGCCAGCAGGGAGTCGTAGACTTTACACTGCATCTGGCCCGTGCTCTGGGTCACACAGTTCATCCACAAACCTTCCCAGATCACCTGAGACGTGACAATGTTGGCACCGATAAAGGCCGTGACCTTCCAGGTGGGTAGAGCGCAGATGACAATGTTGCCCAAAAAGCCAATGAAGGCCAGGGCTATGCCCAGGATGTGTGTTCCACCAGATGCCATTCTGAAGCTCAGTGTTGCTGATGGACAGAGTGGTAAACGAGTGAGAGAGCAGAGAGGCAAGTGGTGCTTTATATTGTTTTCTCAGAGTGGAAGCTGAGAGAGTCTTGCTCCAAGGTTTTTGTTGTTTACCCACAGGAGGGGCTCTCTGGTCAAAACTGGTTTCGTGGAGTGATCTCACCCGACCACATTGTTTCACAATATTAGAGACAAGAGTTTCAAAGATGGAAACTAAATACTCTGCCATATAATGTTTTTTTTATAAAAAGAATTACAAAGAAGATCATGGGTTATTTCCAAATATATTTAAAATGACAAAATTGGTTTTCAGTTTTCTTTGTATTCTGATTCATTTTTATCTGATTTGAACCCTACAGTTTGTTAACCATCCAAATTAGGTGGATCTGAGGTTAGGTTTTTTTTTTAATCACAGTAAACTAAAGTTTGTATACCTTTGCTTCTTTGTTGTGGTTACAAAACCTTTTAGAGCCACTTTAAAAAAAATATTTAAGTTTAATTGACTCGTACCTGTTACTTGCCTAAATTCTAAATTTTATCCTCCATGTTACCTTTAGCCATTTGTTTTTAAACAGATCAAACTTTTTTGCCTGAAACTATTTTTTTTACTATTTACTATTATTGGCTTTTGTTATTTTTATCTAATTATTAATCGGCTTACTTCAAGGAATTATTTTTTTACTAATAATTAGATTTTTCAATAAAATAGTTTCAATATCTGACTCAGAAAGTAAAAAATTGCTATTGCTAAATGTTTGTTTTGTTTCTAAATGTTTTAATTCTAATCTAATTTGTTGGCTAGGTTACTAATTTAAATGCATTTAAACCAAATTCTTAAATGTGATCAAGTCCAGGTAATTACGAGTGACCAATTATTAGTTAATTGTTCAACTTCCACGTAGGGTTTGATCATACCTGGATGTTTCAATCACATTTCTTTGGCTTTAGAGTCATGAATATTTGACACAAAGTCTTGAGCTCAGATACTGTTTTGAGTAGTTTCACTGGGGACTATTAAGCTCTGCTTCACTCTAAGCTGACTAATTACTCATCCTAGGCCAGTATCTTCTGTTGGACCTCAGGCCTTTTAGAGGCTGTCATCATAAACTACACTGTCAGGGGAGATGGTATCCTCCTTCCTGCCTTCATAAAATGGCTGTAAGTATTGCTGGGTGAGGGGAGCCCCACCCTCCTCCCTCTTTCTTTGAATCACCTTACATTATGATGTTTGCTCCTGTGGCTGAGCAGGTGATTGAAACCAGGACCAAGACTAAAGACCTCAAGGGAGAGTCCTCCACTTGACGATCCTGTTTGGAACGTAGGAGATTTTATGCTCATGCCAAATTTGTTTATTCACAAATCTGACAGTAAATTTATTTCCAGCTAAACAGTGTGAAGTCAGACACAGTCGAAAATGCAGCAATGAAAAGAAACCATTAGCGTTTTATTTTTTATTTTTTTTAACTTGGCATATATTGAATATTTATGCAATTGGCATTGTGTACAATTCTAATATTTAAAAAAAAATAAGCTATGATTGAAACCAGAGGAATGCTTTTTCTTTCAGTTCTGATACAAACATCAGCTCCAGAAAAGTTGGTACACTCCCTGAAAATGCAATGAAACGGAATCTGTTTAAGCTCTCTGGAACTTTCTTTTGACAGACAAAAGTAGAGCTGTCACACATTGAAAATATCCAGCCTGTCACGAATGCTATGATATCTGACCAGCAACGAAACTGAAATTAAAACATTTTTCTATTTTTAGATAACGTACCCTCTTTCTAAGCATTGGCATTAGAGATATATTTTGTATAATTGAAATTAAAACTTAACGTAAATACAGTAACTCATTTCAACCAGAATTTTCTTTTAATTAGGTCAGTGCAGGTGTCACTAGTCTGTATCAAATATCCTCTTCATACATTTTAAAATTAAAAGAAATGTTCAGCTTCGTTTGTTAGAATGCCGCTCCGAAAAGAACGTAAAGAAAGACACTGCAGAGCTGCGAGGTTGTCTAGCAACAGAATTAATCATTTTAAATCTTAGTTAAATATGATGCAAATTATTGCAAATTTTAAACATCAGTTATTCAGTCACTATTTAATCCTGCAGTGTGCAACACAGCCAAGGCCAAACACACTATGGACCCACTGTGCCACGGCCCCGACCCTCCTGTACCGTATACAAACACAGAAAGGCCGATCAAGAAACAAACAAGGAAGTGCAATTTAAAAATATGTAGTTTTTGAGCCACTAGCAAGCGGGAGTTGGGCGGTCTTTGAAGCCCATGTAAAGCACATTTATCTTCTCTTGCAGGCTTTCACTTTCCCCCCCTCACATGATTAAACACAGATACGCAAAAATAAGAGGAACAGAGTTTGTCCACTTGGCCTATAAATCACATCTTCATAAATGTCATTTATTCACACTACACATTAGCGTGGCTACATTGCCTTTCCTAGAGTACCAAAATATCTATACAATAGCTTTATCATCCAGTCTTCCAGAAATAAATCACAGATTCTAGCAAAAATAAATTCCTCCTTCACATGTTCACTAATGCTGCACAACTGAAACTGAAAAAAAAAAAAAAAAGTTCCCCCAACAAAAGCATTCATTGCGACCTCAGCGCCTGTAGGTGCCACACAGTATCCCTCCTCCAATGACAAGCAGAGCCCCAGATGCCCAGCCCACATAGATGGAAGCGCCCAGCTCCCCTCTCCTCTCATTGGTGGCCAGCGGGTTGTAGAAACCAGTGATAATGCTGTGAGCCGACCAGCTGACAGGAATGAGGCAGAGCAGCCCGGCCACAATGAAGACCACACCTCCAGACACACCAATGTTGGTTTTGGTCAAAGAGTCCTCATGAAAGAAGTTGGTGCAGCGGGCCCCCACCACGGTGAGCCCCATGGCCACCACACTGACAGCAATGGAGACACAGATCAAAGCTCTGGAGGCTTGTAGCTCCTGTGGTAAAGCCAGCAATGAGTCATACGCTTTACACTGCAAATGTCCCGTACTCTGGATCACACAGTTCATCCATATTCCCTCCCAGAAGACCTGAGAGGTGACAATGTTTGCTCCAACAAAGGCGGTCACCTTCCACATGGGCAGAGCGCAAATCAAGATGGTGCCACAAAAACCCACAACTGCCAAACACACAGCGACAAGCTGAGTCTGCATGGTGCAGAGAGAGGGGGGAAAAAAATCGTTTTAAATTTAAGTCCAATTCATATCAAAATCCAGAAAGAGTTTGGTCAGGCAGAGGATCCAACCGCTAAACAAGTTGCTACTTTGTTTTGCCGTTTTGTGCATGCATGTGGGAAAGAACAGAAAAAGGGAGGGAACTCTGCAAGTTTGCAGATCAGGTTTCTTGTTTGTCCTGATTACTGAACAGGTGGCTGAACAAGAGAATGAACCTGTTAGAGAAGCAGTCATGCTTCAATAAAAAAATAAAAATGCTTTCTGTGCTTAAAAAAAACAAAAAAACAAAACAACAAAACATGTTACTATGGGTCAGAATTTTAGGACTGTTAAATTAATTAGACTGCTACTTCAGCATTTTGGGAGAATTTAATTAGACTGCTACTTCAGCATTTTGCCCAGATGCAGGTTGAAGGCAACAATACCCGTGTTGACCCAGTAGGTGGCAGTATGAAAAAAAAGCAGAGCACTACATATTTTAAAATGCAATTTAAAATGTTAAACCTAAATAGTAAATTAGATAGCATTTTATATATTTATATTTAAGAGGCTTGTACCATGTTTGACCCCTAAAGCTAAAGCAGCTAAACAGAATTTAGCAGTTTCATTTCATTTAAGCCAGCTGGATACTTGTTAGCATTAACTTTGACCATGATCAGCCTCAGCACCATGACTTAATCTTTCTGAAGCACTTGGCTTAAAAAGCTTA